GAAACACAGGGGGACTCTTCATGTGCAGCGTGCCTAACATCGCCGCGACGGCGCACGCTGGTCTAGAGGAAGACGCTGAATAATTTGTGTTGAGTAGTGAATTTATCAAGGAAAGTTACAGACTATAAAACATTACGCTATGACCATTAGGAGCCGAGCGGTGAGTGAAAGCGGGTCTAGCATGTACTTACATAAATTTAATGCTTATGCATTCTTCCCCTTCTTTATTTTTTTTTTGGTAACAACAAAAAATATCTTTAGTACTGAGTTTTCATATTATTAAGTTACATAATTTAAATACATAGGTATTATAATATTCGCTGATGTTATTTCTTATTTATGTACACACATACAACACAAAAAGACAACACATATATAAAATTAAATTACAAAGGTATCACCTATTCCTATTGGAATTTCTTCCTATGAACCTGTGGCAGGAAAACTAATAATTATATAATGACACAATTTGGAATAACAAATAGAAAGTTAACATAAAAACAGACTTAAAACTAAACAGATAAAAAAAGAAAAATTATAAATATAATACACCTATAACAAATACATACAATATATAAATAAATACATACAATTCATAAACTATACATTTAAATAAATGAATTTAAATATCAAGAGGAAAGGTAGTGTTTTCTCACTCGTCTTTTAAAGATAGCGATTTTTTTTTTAAGGGGGGAAAATCATCGAATGACTGCTCCCGCCTGGGTGAGGCGGAAGGGAGTGTCAGACACTTACTGACTAAAAACCACCCTGTACTCCTGCACGTCGAGCCGGAGCCTCGGTTACCCGTTAGGTTATCCGCAACTAAAGATAGCGATAGAGTCAGCGTCCCGAATGTTAGGCGAGAGTGAATTCTACACTCACTGCATGAACGGAAACGGAGTAGGAGTAATAAATCGGTATTATAGGGCACGATTTTAATATTAGATTTAAGGTGTGAACGAGATAGGATAGGAGGACGAATTTCAGGTCGCGAAGGAAAGCAGGGTAGGCAGAATTCAACATGAAGTTATATAGGAGACGAGGAGAATTATCGATTAGTTTCAAGCCATGCCAGAGGCTCATATTCATGAGCAGCATTCTGCAATCCGCGACGCGACTACGGCACTGCTACCAATAAATAAGTGAGTAAGCCGAACATAATAATTATTTTAGTATGTCTCACAAAAGTTATGATGATATTATTATATACCTATTCTAAAAAAACAGCTGTTAAGTATTTAATGCATTTAATAGTACCACTTTTCTACTAATCCTTACACATACTTCTTTTGTTGATGTTTGATATATTCAATTTCACCCCCTCACAAATAATGTTGCCAAAGGTACCACCATTTCCACCATTACCACTTCCATAGCTGTTCCCTTTATGACCAAAATTGCCATTGAAATATTGAGCGCATAAATTTGTGGATGCCACTTCAGCATTACCGCCTGTACCTAAAATGGAAGATGATGTATCACTACCTGCAGTACAGCAGTCCTCTGTCCAATCTGGCATGATATTGCAATAATTAGGTAATCAAGACTCATGGAGGCTTAGGATGAAACTCTGCCATTATAACCACCAAATATTCGAACCTACTTCGCGAAGGTGCACCAACGTTCGGGCTTGGTGAAAATATGCTGAAATTCTATTTTATAATTAAACGCGTAAATAATCATAACTTTAAACTCGTATTAAATAATGGAGCAAAAAATACAACGGAACCTTTTAAGGAAAATTTAAATGACATTTATCATGACAAGTAAGACAAGTGAGACAAGTAAGACAAGTGAGTAAGACAGTGCACCAATTAAAATACGGTTCACGGTATAGCTCCAGTGTGTAGTTTATCAAATAAATTATCAATTGTGTAATAATACATATTTACCTTCTTCCTTTGGTTTGGATGGTGCTGCCAAAATAGATACGATCAACGCAAACACCACCAGTAGAGCAACAGAACGTGCCATCTTGTGAGCGGACAATGCAATACTAATACTTTTCCTGGACTGAACATGTAAATTACTTGTGCAATAAACTTAGAACTATATTAAGTAAATTTTACCACCTAAGTTATCGAGTTCCTAGAGGTAAATTAAGAGTATTGTATAAATGTATGGTGGAGTCTGTGATGGATTATGCTCTTGATTGCTATGGGCTTACATTCAACACCTACATGGAAAAATTAGAAAATTTACAAATAAGGTTCCTAAAATTACTAGTTGATAAAAAAAACTAAAAATAAATATAAAAATGACGACTATAAATTATTTAAAATCTGTAAAGTATTACCGGTCAGACTTAAACATAAATACATTCTCGCAACCAATAACCACAGCAAACAAGAACATAATCCACCTCTAATAACAGTCTGTAATAAACACAACACCCAAACGATGTCGTCTGGTAAATATGAGGTACCAAGGGTTAATAATGTTTATGGTGATCGATCAATGAAAAAGCGTATCCCGTACTTACTCAACCATTTGCCAAACGAAGTCAGGGAAGAGAAAAATAAAAATAAATTTAAGACTAAATTAAAAAAATATCTGTTTAGCACACTACCATAGCTGTATTTAAAATTAATCATTAACAACACTACCATAACCATATGTATTTAAAATTAATCATAACCATAATCATATTAAACTACTAATTCCTACTAAATAGTAATTTAAATATAGAAGATCCAACAGTATATAAATAGTAACAGTATTTATATACCTATAGTTTTGTTGGACATGGCGTTAGATTATAAGGCATACTATGTGCCTTTATTATTAATAAATAAATAATTAATAATAATGTAAACACAACACAAAAGTGGTTTATAACTGAATCCACTTATATGAAAGTACTGAAAGTCCGATGTTGATCAGTTGAAACCTGTCTGTAGAAATTAGCCTGATGTCACTGAACTTAGGTTTCGGGTGAAATTAGATAAAAGTAGTTTTAGAAAGAAAGAAAGAAAAAACATTTATTTAGCACCCGGCACGATGCAGCATAAATAAAAAATAAAAAAGACAACATGCCTATGCTAAAAGGGTCACCCACTCAGCGTAAGCTAGGCATACAGGCTACCCAGCACTGATTTTCAGTGGGCACCCATGCAGTGACGCACGGATGGAAGCAACGTTGTATGGTTAGACAAAGCCAAAAAAAATAATATATATACATACATATATATATTGATGCATTTACACACCCACCACACACACATATACATACATATACATACACACACATATATGCAATAAGTATGCAGATACAACAATGGTATACTTATCAATATAATAAATATAAAAAGTAATGTAAAATAAAATAATAAAAAAGAAAAATGTTAATAAATAGTACACATGACAGAATGAAGGACATAGGACAGCCAGTATGTCTGCGTTCTGCATGTCTGCATCATTCATACACTAAACTGGCTAGGGTTAAAAGATAGACAGATCAACATTAATTGCAGCCTTGTCTTTTTGCGAAGTTAAAATAAACATTTTAAGATTATATTTAAAACTATTTATACTTGGAATCTATTTTACCTGAAATCGGGTTTGGTCATTGAGATACACATATAGTGTCGCTATCACCGTACAACGCCACTGAATGTCGAAAGGAACCCCCAGGCGCCTCTTTGTTATCTGCCAATTCCGTGTCTAATCAGTCAATCACTTTGCTCTTTGAGGATTCGTCGTCCGTAATATATTTTTCTGAAACTGGACCCACAGTTTCGGAGCGAATTCAATCAAACAAAAAATCAAATCTCTCCTCTTTATTTGACCTATTGGTACAATAAAGAGGAGAGATTTGATGTTATTACTTCCAAACTTTGTTTGCGCCGGATCCGTGGAATGACTTATACAAAGTGTATTGAACTGCACCTGTTTGCATTTTATTTTTATCTCCAATATTGCAGAATGTAAAACCCAGCTGCATCTCCATAAAATTTATTTTTCCTCATAACTTCTTAAATTGTTTTATATTTTTAGTGTAATCAGTTATATAAAAGGATTTGCATTTTATGTGATCCTTAGTACTGTATTTTTAGCACACGAGATGGCACGCTCTGTTGTTCTACTGTTATTAGTGTGTTCGTCGATCGTATTAACTTTGGCAGCACCACATTATTTTTGGCCGCATTCAAATTGTCATCATCATCATCATCATCACCATGGATATAATCATTTTCCGTGTACTAGTACAGGTAAATATTATCTATTTCACAATCGCTAAATTATTTTGTAGTATCTATATCTGTGTTTATACATCTATATTCTATATCGCAGTCGTGGTGGCCCGAAGGTTTAAGATGACGCTTCTCATGCATGAGGGCGCGGGTTCGAAACCGGCCAACGGCAAGTACCAATATGACTTATTCTGAGTTATATGTACTTTCTAAGATTATCTAGACACCACTGACAAACGGTGAAGGAAAACATCGTGAAGAAACCTGGACTTATAATTTTTAATTATAAGTTTGTAATCGCCAACCCGCATAGAGCAAGCGTGGTGATGAATGCTCAAACCTTCTCCGTGTGAGAAGAGGCTTTCTGCTCGGCAGTGGGCATTTAGACGCTGTTGATGATGACATCTCAATTCTATACACTAGTCAAAGTTCCACGAGGACAAAGTTGCGAAGAAAAAGAACTCCAAAGGCTAACAAAAGTGTTCACAAATATTTTATAATTTTAAGGAGTGGAGTTAGTTTTGACAATTTACGGGAAATATTTTTCACATATTGTCATTAAACCCGAAAATTATTTGATGATAGTATCGGCACACCTGAATAAAGTATGTAGGTTCGAATATTTAATGGTTTCAATGTCGGATGATCATGCTAAACCTTAATAGGTCTCAATGTTCTGATCGTTGTAATATTACTTCCAATTGGACAGAGGATCGCTATACTGCAGGTAGTGATGTATCATCACCTTTCATTTCAGTTCCAGTAGCTACACACACCGTATCAAGCACTGCTGCCACGACAGTCCCGATGCCCACCATATCAAATACTGCTACCACTATTGTTCCGCCGGCCACCGAATCAAGCACTGCTGATACGCCCACCATATCAAATACTGCTACCACTATTGTTCCGCCGGCCACCGAATCAAGCACTGCTGATACGCCCACCATATCAAATACTGCTACCACTATTGTTCCGCCGGCCACCGAATCAAGCACTGCTGATACGCCCACCATATCAAATACTGCTACCACTATTGTTCCGCCGGCCACCGAATCAAGCACTGCTGATACGCCCACCATATCAAATACTGCTACCACTATTGTTCCGCCGGCCACCGAATCAAGCACTGCTGATACGCCCACCATATCAAATACTGCTACCACTATTGTTCCGCCGGCCACCGAATCAAGCACTGCTGATACGCCCACCATATCAAATACTGCTACCACTATTGTTCCGCCGGCCACCGAATCAAGCACTGCTGATACGCCCACCATATCAAATACTGCTACCACTATTGTTCCGCCGGCCACCGAATCAAGCACTGCTGATACGCCCACCATATCAAATACTGCTACCACTATTGTTCCGCCGGCCACCGAATCAAGCACTGCTGATACGCCCACCATATCAAATACTGCTACCACTATTGTTCCGCCGGCCACCGAATCAAGCACTGCTGATACGCCCACCATATCAAATACTGCTACCACTATTGTTCCGCCGGCCACCGAATCAAGCACTGCTGATACGCCCACCATATCAAATACTGCTACCACTATTGTTCCGCCGGCCACCGAATCAAGCACTGCTGATACGCCCACCATATCAAATACTGCTACCACTATTGTTCCGCCGGCCACCGAATCAAGCACTGCTGATACGCCCACCATATCAAATACTGCTACCACTATTGTTCCGCCGGCCACAGAATCAAGCACTGCTGATACGCCTACCATTACCACGTCCACAAACTCTGCTAGAGGAAATAATAATGAACAAGAATACAATATTGGCAACGGAGGAACTGCCTACGGAGATGGTAATGCTGGAGATGGTGGCAGCTTCGGAGAGATTAATCTTTGAGGTACGAAATAAACGGTACAAAAAAGTCGACAAAAGAAGCGTAATAACGAGTACCATTGAATACATTATGACTAGTAAACTTCTGTTCCTTGTATTATGTTGGTTGACATCGGTCAGTAGATAAATGCCAATATTTAACCACCCTTTTTAGATTTTCAATGGTTTTCAGGACAGGTGGCACAGAGTGATGATGTTCAGTATGATTTTACAGGATCATTAAAAAAAAATATTATAGCCAAATGTAAGAGTTAAGCTATCCCTTGGAACTTATAGGGGGTAAACGCCATATTAGCGAAAATTACTTTATTATTTTCTTTTGAGTTTTTGGTATAGTAACAGCAGTCACTGAATCTGCAGTGATTGTCCGGGCCGTAACCAACCAGTACTTCTTAATTAATTTATTTAAAACACAATTATTATTTTAGACTGCATAAGGGCTCGTAAAAAAACTGTAATACGAATTCGCAACGCAAAAAATTACGATGCGTATTGCTGCGATGCGATTTCATGCGACAAGGCGTCTCTCAGAGTGACTATTCCTTCGACAACCGTTAACCGTACTAAACGTCCGAGCGTACGGCTCGTCGCGTTCCGCGCGTGCCTCAAAGAGCCATCAGACCACCACAGATGGGGCCCAATAGGGCCGATGCCGATTCGGAGTCGCGGAGAACCTAACGGGTAACCGGGGCTCCGGCTCGACGTGCCGGAGAAGGAACGGGGTGGTTTTTAGTCAGTAAGAGTCTGACACACTCCCTCCCGCCTCACCCGGGTGGGAGCAGTCATTCGATGATTTTCCCCCCTTAAAAAAAAGAAAAAAACCGTACTTAACGTTTTTTATATTGAAATCTAGGTCGTGATGCGTATCTAGAGGAAGCTCGAACATTTTAGCGATGCGACGTGGAAACGCAGTTCTGTGTACGAGCCCTTAAAATAGACTTTTAGTTGACGTAAGGTTTCTATCTGTAAACTGTAAATTTGTCTTTTGGTTTTGGGTCTCCTGTAGAGTTGAGTTTTGGCGAAGACGTCACAATCATTGTCTCATTTTATTAAAATGTTGCCCCACGCTATAATTTTTTCCCCTGCTGATCATGATGCATAACTACGGGTAGTTGCAATATTTTAACTAAGGTCTACAATCATGAATAAGAAATAGATAACAGCATTAATCTATATATATAAAAGAAAGTCGTGTTAGTTACACTATTTATAACTCAAGAACGCCTCAATAGATTTAGATGAAAATTGGCATGGAGGTAGCTTAGAACCAGGAGACCGACATTGGATACTTTTTAAACAATACTTTTTTTTTACTTTTTACCGAAAATCACGAACGGGAACGGGGGAAAATGGGATTGCGCGTACGAAGTCGCGGGCAGAAGCTAGTATTATATAAAAGAAAGTCGTGTTAGTTACACCACTTATAACTCAAGAACGGCAGAATAGATTTGGCTGAAAATTGGTAGGGAGGTAGCTTAGAGCCAGGAGACCGACATTGGATACTTTTAACCAATACTTTTTTTTTACTTTTTACCGAAAATCACGAACGGGGACGGGAAAAAATGGGATTACGCGTACGAAGTCGCGGGCAGAAGCTAGTAGAAACTGTTTTTGGTGTCAAGTTCTCAAGTTTGTCTTTTTAATTAAATCAATGAAATCGTTAACTTATTCATTTTGTGTTTTATTTACCTGTTTGAATCATATAATACTAATAATACTAATATTTGAATACGGTCGGCTTACTCCCTATTACGTGAACACATAATTTTTTTTTATACCGTAAGCCGGTAAACGGGTAGACGGATCGGATGGTAAGCAATCGGTGCCGCCCATAGACACCCGAAACACCAAGGCGGTACCAGTGCATTCGGCCTTTTGGGAATTGGAAATTTGAGGATTGTGAAGGATTCGGGAGACTAGGGAGGGTAATTGGGGTAAATAAAAATAGTAGATAATGCATTGAATATCTATGGACCTCTGCCTTAATTTTGAAGGAATAAAAATCGCAATGTTATATTTGAACTAGCTATTTCTTTGCCCCGCTCCCGTTCCCGATGCCTGACTCCTGTTGGCTAAGGCATGTGATGTTTACTTATAACCTTTCTCGATAAATGGACAATCGATCCAGCCCAAAAAGAATAGTATTTTATTGAGTCAAACCAGTCAAATAAAAAAGTAATATATTACCACGCCTTTAATCTCCGAAGGGGTCTCTCGCCTTTAATCACAGAGGCCCTTAATGCCACTGGACAATGTAACACCCATTTTCCACTATTTATGTTATGAGTCCCATTTTATAGGGGGTGAGCCTATTGCCATATACGGGCCCAATTCCAGCCTCCGTGCTATTTCTGAGATTTGTTTTAAAAAACCCTATAAAACTTTGCCCGACCTGGAAATTGAACCAGAGACCAATGAGGACAACGAGGCAGTCTCGGCAAACAAAATCTTTCAGCTTTAAAATATTACAAGTTTCTACCTCAGACTTCGCTCGCATTATTAGGATAAAAAGTAGAGAATATGTTATTAGAGACTATAATCTATCTCTATACGTTTCATTCAATTATATTCAGTAGTTTTGATGATAAAGTCATGGATGATAAGTAGATGATAAAGGATGTTCATGCTAAATCACGGTTTTGATGTTCTGATGTTTGCAATATCACGTCAAATTGGACAGAGGACCGCTGTACCGCAGGTAGTGATTCTCACCTTCCATTTCAGGTGAGGGAGGCAATACGAGCTCGCGGCCACAGACGCGAGCACTCAAAATTACGTTTTTAATCTCGGTAATGGAGGAAACAGCTACGGAGGTGTTGATGGTGAAAATGGTCACAACTTTAGCAATATCACTATTACGGCGTAGGACTTGAATGGCACACCCAGCAGTAATAGGCGCAGGTACCTGTATACAAGTAGTAAACTGCTGCTTCATTAATATCATTGGTATATTGGTCAATCGGAATACACCCTAAAGTGTAGCTACTTTTTGTTTACTTTAAAGGGGGAAAATCACCCAATGACTTCTTCCGTCTGTGGTAAGCCGAGAGGGAGTGTCAGACTCTTACTGACTAAAAACCACCCCGTTCCTACTTCTGCTCTTTGAGGCTTAGCTCCGGCAACCCGTTAGGCTTTCGCGGCTTCGTATCGGGCATCGACCTGTGGTGGTCTGACCGCTCTTTGAAGTGCGCGCGGAACGCGATGGGTCGTACGCACGAGTCTGTTTCTCTAGTCGGGCAGCGAGCTACTCTTGCTCACCGTCCGTGGACCCGCACGGTACGGTGGCCGGAGAAAGTCACGCGATCTCTTCTCATTCTCTTCGACGCCTGAAGTGCTTCCCGCGAGGGCTGGGGCGTGAGGAGGTTCTTTCCTTCACGCGCCCCGAGTTTAGCTACTTAAGATCTTAATTGCAAGGCACAAATATGCACTCAAACTACGGTGAGCCACAAGATTTTGTCGCATAACCGTATCTTTCGAGCTTAGAAAGAAAGAAAGAAAGAAAGAAAAAACATTTATATAGCACCAGGCACGATACGTGATACTTTCAAGGTTACATTTCTTTTTGCTGGTTATTATTGGGTTCACAAAACACCGTTACATTACGATGGTTATTCCAAAATCCAGCACTACATATATTTACGATTTTGAATAATATTAGGTATAATCTATGTATTGACTTAGTAAATATCTACAAACAGAATGAACTTGTTTTAAATTAAAGTAAACAAAATATTAGGTTGAACACAAATACAAATAAAAACTTTAGTTAATTAACTCAAATACCTACATCATTCGATTTTCTGCTGTAAGAAGATGGTATAGAGTGAAAAATGAATTATCATTTGCTAGGAAACAGAATAGATTTAATATTGCGTAATAAGGATAAATAGTATTTAAAGAAGAATCACATACTTGATGGAATTTCCTACTTGTAATCTTGGCAAAGTAACATGGAAGGTGCTAAAATTATGACTAGTGTTTGTCTTGCTTGGTTCAATGATTCCGTCTAATATATATATTTGGATGATCATGGTATCGTGCCAGTAACTGATTATCTTTGTATTGAGCCATATGTGATTGTAGTGAACTCGAAATAAGTATTAATTAATTTATTTATAATGTCTCGTTTATTATTGTGTGTGTTTGCTCTTTTAGTTTTCGTTAGTGTTGACGCAGGTTTGTGTTTTTAATAATATTTTTATTGTATAGATCGTATTTGTCCGTCATACTAGGTACAGGTACAGATTATCTGTAGGTACTGTGTGCTCATGTGCTGTTCTAAATTTCAATGACACGAAATAAATAATTATGTAAAGAAATTACTAAAAATTTGGGGACCTAATGTTATCTATAATTGGATACTTTACTTAATCAAAAACAAATTATTTCGACTGATCAATACAATTGAATATTAAAAAATAATCACACTGTCATAAATTGATTTTATGACCAACTTAATTTTAGTATTTTTCTAGCAATTTTTTAAGAAACACCTAACTAATATGCTGCTTGATTCTTAAAAAACGTGACGTGACATTACACAATAAATGTACAAAATTCATAGAAAACTTATTTTTCACCGTTCGAAAAAAGTATTGAACGTTAGCAAGTACCTACTCACTTAAGAAGAATTATTGTATCGATATCATTACGGTACTAGGTTACCCCGTCGTGTGTCTAAGACGTGGATCCACGCGAGACACAATGTATTTTCTATTCAGTCTCATATCGGTGCATTCATCACTTTAAAGTCCAAAGAATGTGTAGTGATCATGTACTATTTATGTAATTTTGCAAAAGGAAGTGTTATAAGAACTGTGCGGCTTTCGATTGAAGTACCTAAAATTTTTTTTTCATTTCAGTCCCTGCACCAAAACCAGTGCCAGCCCCTTCACCTCAATTCGGAGGTTTCGGTGGTGGATACGGAGGTGGATATGGAGGCGGTTACGGGGGCGGATTTGGGGGCGGTTATGGAGGTGGTTATGGGGGCGGACCTTATGGAGGCTTCGGAGGACCAGGTTTTGGAGGCCCAGGCTTCGGAGGGCGACGTTTCGGCCGTTTCCCTGGAGGATCTATAAGTTACTCCAGAAGCGGTACTATCAGTTTTGGTGGTCCTGGTGGCTCAGCGGCACAATCAAGTGCTGGTTCTCTAGGATTTGGAAAATAATTCAAACTGTGGATGAGGCTTTTTCTTTAGTGTTATATGTAATTTAACTGTGTTTGAATAATGTGCTGTACCTGTTCATTAATGTATTTTAATGTATCCGTAGTTCTATGAATTACTTTTAAATAAATAATTTAAAATTTTATGAATTTATTTCAATAAATATGTTTAAAGTTTGTTTAATTACCTCTAAAAAGTGGTACTCAACCGCAAAATATCATAATCGAATGCTATCAATGACATTATGAGAAGATTATGAGATAATTTGGGATAACTGCTAACTGGCATAGAGAAGAGCCAGAAGCAGAAGTTCCTTGAGCTGGTCAGACCAAATTAGCGTCACTTTAAACAACAGTCCGTGATGGCGTCAACACCTCCGAAGACATGAGAACATGATGGCAAACGATAGCCAATGAAAAGGTGATTGACTGCATTATTGGTACAGTGTCTAAGTGCACAGCTTCTATGTAACGTGTTACGGGTTCGATCCCCGCTCCTTTCACCCATCATCCACTCTTCCGCGCCAACGATACAGGAGCAAATACTCATGTCGAGCCACGTTTAAAAACAAAGCACAATTATGTACCTAACTTTTTGATTATTTTTAAATTGATGGAATTCTATTCCTTTCAGTTGTAATGTTTATCAAAAAAATACTGCTATGATGATACACTCCCAACGGTGTAATAAACGGAGTCACAGAGAACCTAACGGGTTACCGTGGCTCCGGCTGGAAGCGCAGCCTAGGAACGGGGTGGTTTTTAGTCAGTAAGAGTCTGACACTCCCTCCCACCTCACCCGGGCGGCAGCAGTCATTCGATGAGGGAACCTTAAAAATAAACGGTGTAATAAAGTGTATATTTTTTCTTAAACAAGTCTTTGTGCGATCCACAAATTTTTGCTCTAGGTCTAAAAATATCCCAATAGGGCTTATGCCGATACGGAGCCGTGGAGGAAATAACGGGTCACCGAGGCTCCGGCTTAAAGTGTAGAAGTAGGAACGGGGTGGTTTTTAATCAGTAAGAGTCTGGATACTCCCTCCCGCCTCACCCGGGCGAGAGAAGTCATTGGATGATTTTCATAATTAAAAAAAAAGGTGTAAATAAATGTGCTGTGTATATGAATTTATTTCGTACACGCATCCACAACACCCAACAGCCTTAGAGTAGGACAACATCTTATTTAAATAAATGGGAAATGATGAATCTTTGATGATTTTTACAAATGGAAAAACCTCGAATAGTTAAGCTGATGGTATTGTTGACACAAAGGCTAAACATTTGAATAAGTATTACCTATTCAAATTCCGAGCTAATATTTATATGATTGGTTATTGACATAGACAACAGTCATAATATATTTTTATGTATTCGACCTCAAAATAACATAGGTAGGTACACAGCATCTAAAAATTATTAAATATCCGGATATAAGATGTCGAGATTCGAATCTAGACTTGGGAGTAAAGAAACGGCGCCGCTAGCGTTTTTTTCATTATACCGAAACCTCTATAACTTAACAAAAATATTACTTTTCCTACAAAATGCTCTTATTTTAAAGGTACAGTCAAAGGTCAAAAGTCCACTGCGACCGTGAGTGATGTTCACAGCGCAATGCGTAAGTAATTTCATATTAATGTGCATAAAAACGCGTGCGTATGCATAAACACATGCACGCGTAGGCACACGGTTAAAAATATATGTGTGTATGCAATTTAATACCTTATATACATATGGCCTTTTATACGACATGTATATACCACGCGGCTTTAATTATTACCGTGCATATACGTTACCATACTAAAAACTCTTGGTAATACTAAATACGGTAAAAATGGTAATACTAAAAACCCACCCATCAGAAAATAGTCGTTGCCGTGGTGGCTCGGAGGTTTATAACGCCCGCTTCTCATGCATGCGGGTGCGGGTTCGAAACTTACCAACTGCTGAGCAAAGCCTATTCTCACACGGAGAAGGTTTGAGCATTAATCACCACGCTTGTTCAATGCGGATTGGCGATTTCAAATTTTTATTCCCGAAGGGTTAGGCAGAGGTGGACATTATACCACTGTACAATGTAACACCCACCTTTCTCTATTTATGTTATGACTTATGAGTCCCATGTAATAGGGGGTGAGCCTATTGCCATATACCGGGCACAATTCCAGACTCCGTGCTACTACTGAGAATATTTAAAAACCCAGCAATACTTTTCCCGACCCGGGAATCGAACCCGAGACCCCTTGCCCGGCAGTCGCACTTACAACCACTCGGCCAACTAGGCAGTCTTGATGAATCAGAAGATGAGAAGGTGCAAGTATTATGTATTCAAGAGGTACCTACATTATAAACAAATGAGGATTTAAGACGCTGGCATATAGAAATTTTTGGGCCACCTTAAAGAAGGAAAAGGAAGGATTTATTTTAAGTAAAATTTTGTATTGTATTGCATCTTTTGAGAACCTTTTTTTAAGGGGGGAAACTCATCGAATGACTGCTCCCGCCTGGGTGAGGCGGGAGGGAGTGTCAGCCTCTTACTGACTAAAAACCACCCCGTTCCTTCTCCTGCACGTCGAGCCGGAGCCCCGGTTACCCGTTAAGTTCTCCGCGACTTTTGAGAACCTTTAGGTACCTAATCTGTTGCTGTTGTTGTACGTTTGCTTCCTTGTAACGTTTCACTAATTCATAGATTATAGTAAGCGCACCATCTGTTGGTTTACTGTTTAACTATCTTCGTTATTTTTTTATACGTCGATCGCTAAAACTTGATTGCAATCTCATCAACAAAAATACTATATATTGGCATCGCGCGGTATTTCGCGCCATCGCCATCTATAGGCGACAAGCATGAACTTGTATTATTTATGTACCACTATAAATGAATGGGTTTTATGTTTTACTGAATAGATAAATAGTATAATTTCTGTGAGAGGAAAAACTAGGTACCAATGTCGAAGCAGTGGTACTAGTAGACAATGTGAACTAAATATGAGCCGCGGAGAACCTAACGGGTTACCCGGGCTCCGGCTCGAAGTGCAGGAGTAGGAACGGGGTGGTTTTTAGGAGTGTCTGACACTCCCTCCCGCCTCACCGAGGCGAGAGAAGTCATTCGATGATTTTTTTCCCACCTTAAAAAAAGGGATGGTTTAGGAGTGGTGGGATGGTTTAGGATTTTGAACCATCTCACCACTCCTAATCCATCCGGACTTAGGTATGTTCCTGTAGTATTATACAGACAGTTATACACAAATTTTTACTAAGCTTTCAGCATGCGGCTTCGTGTGCATTGAATTTTGAAGATTAGTATCGAATGAGTCCCAGTCCTGAAAGAATATGAAAGTGTGAGAAAGACATGCTTCGGCATGACGGCCGGCTCCACCGGAGTGATGCCACACACGGCCTCACAGAAAACCGACGTGAAACAACGTGCGTTGTGTTTCGTCTCTCCCACAATCATCAAATTCCTAATCCCCAAAAGGCCGGTAACGCACTTGTAACGCTTTTGGTGTTCCGGGTGACTACGGGTGGCGCCGATTGCTTACCATTAGGTGATCCGTCTGCTCATTTAATAAAACACACCTTGAACAAACAGTGTTTTTGCCTTAAAACATGTCTATGTGGAAAGAATTTTTCAAATTCGTCCTCTAGTAGTTTATACAATGCAAACAAACAAAAAACCATCAAGTTTTACCTCCTTATAATTATTAGTATTGATTACGAATTCTTACAACATACTTTCAACGAATCGTGATTTATTAATAGAAGGCCGGTACAGCCCCGAACCCAATCTTATTGACATTAAACTAGACTTAAGATCATTTATTTGCACAGTAAATGCTAAAATTCTCACTTGAACGATATTTTTTGTCAGTACTCCGCGATGTTCCAAATCAATATAAACGAATGTATTAGCACTATTCTTTAGTGTTGTTCAAATTGTCTACCAATCAAAATGGCTCGTCTCGTGGTCTATGTGTTGGCTGTACTAGTCTTAGTTAATTTCTTCAGTGTGGAAGCAGGTAATGTTTTGTATTATGTAATTATTTTTGGCTTCAAGGAAATTGCCTTTTTTTGAAAGGGGAAAATTATTCAATTACTTCTCCCACCTTGGGTGAGGCGAGAGGAAGTGTTCCGTTCTTACTGATTAAAACTCGCCCCGTTCCTACACCTCAATAAGCCGGAGCCCCGTCAACCCGATAACGTCGCATCCACAGCTCCAGGGCATTGCCCTGCACTAGGATTATCACATATGTCGTGCGTTCTTTTACAAATTTTAATATAAAACTTCACATAAACGTCATAAACAAAACCGAAATGACTATTTGTAGATCACACAAATAATTATTCCGTATGTGAATAGACTGCGACATGTCACCCAGCGGGTGCGCCATTTCTCTGTCCTGTGGCGCCAACGGTGCAGTTAATGTGAACAACCCCGTGTAGATATTTTGAAATTGACATACTAATGTTGTATTTTGAATTCATAGTTACTCTACTAGTTATAGCTGAACTGCCTCGTGTGAATTAATTTATTATACCTATCCTTATTAATTTTTCAATGTTATTTTATTAATCGTTTAATTATAATTGATATTGTTGTTTTGGCTTCATGAAAACGAATATCTTTTATAGTCAGATGTGTGAAGAATAGATGTGCGAAAGACATTAAGGGATTTATACTTTTTCTTTTATACAGAGTGAAAGCAAAAAGAAATTGTTTACAATTTTCATCGTTTAATTTTCGTGTTTTTCGTTTTAGTTGTTTTTATTTTGTTGATTACAACATTTATTTCCTTACTTTTATGAAAATAAGACTTGTTTTACAGTATACCATCATCTATCGGCGTTTTTCGGGAGCGTTCCCTTTACCTTTGTATTTCACCAAAGCTGGAGAGTGTGTTTATTTGTTAGGTTA